GGCTTCACCAATGCATAAGAAGATCACCATAAATAGGTCACTAGTGGTTATCCTAACAGAGTATGGTGGTTTGTCACTTTGTCTGATGAGGTCTTCAACACAAAAGCAGTGGTGATCTTGATATCCAGAAAGAGAATTGAGCACTATGAAAGTGAAAAGGAGAAAAAAAATCAAAACAGCAATGAAGACAGCTGGGAAACAATTGCAACAGAGGCAGTGATTTGCAGAAACAAATCTAACAAATCAAGAGGTTTGACACCATGTTGGACTTGAATACAGAATATCATTTCTGAATGATAGAAATTATACATAACATCACAATATACTCCATTTGGACTTAAATATAAGAAAAAAATAACTAATTTCTAACTAATTAACTTCAGTAATATCAATTAAGAAAAAAGTAAGCTTTTTTCTTCTAAAATGCCTGTCACCGCAACATGATATCATGAATAAGAAAGAGTCATTGAAAATAGAATCACAATTAAATTAAGGGTATTTTATGAATTATACCATTGAATAAAGTGAAATTAATTGGATTTGCTTATATTCAAGCCCAATGTACATTGTTTTTGTTTATACTTGAGCCCAGTACTAGACTAAATAATAATCTTCCTAAACTAAAGCTACAGTTGCCGTAACCTATGCAAATAAAAAAATAATTTACAACAATTACAAATGAAACCAATGTGAGACTTAGAACGTTTTACTCTGAAACCGAACCTAACCAGTACCTTGAAAAGTTCAGCTGAAGAAAACTTGACTCTCTAGACTCCACCAATTTGATGCACATAACTAACATTGGAAATATTGACAAGTAGATGAATGGCAATATAAACCTACGTCTAATAATCAGATGTTACAAATTCTTTTAAAAAACATTAAATCATCCAATCCATCACTTAAATTGGAAACTCTATGAGTCTCTTTGGATCCTTGTAAAATTGGGGGTGAAAACTTTAGAGATAAATTTTTCATATTAATTTCTTCCATAGTTTTCCACTCCTATTTTCTAGGGGGCCACCACATAGAATCAAAGTGTTGCATGTCAGTCCCCTAAAATACAGTAATAGACGCAATTAAAGTAAATCATATAATAGACTCACATCGCCAACACATTTAGCAACATCTTCTACTTCTGCTCTGCCGAGGGAGAACTGTATAGAGCCTACTGATAAAAGCAACTCCTGAAAAAAAATGCAAAGAATAACTAAACATTGCTTCAAAAAAGACAAATTAAATAAATATGGTTAGCTGCAACGCGACAAATTCATGTCATTTTATGTAAGATTGCAAGATGCAATTAAACAGTTTATAAGCACATACAAGGTTCAAACATAGGCATAGATACGCAAAGACAAACATAAAGGGACGAAGAAAAGGACAATATGGACATGAGGTACAAACCTTAATTCTTGGAGTTGCCCAATTGTTCAGACTTTTCTCCTCCCATGTCCCGGCCTGTATTAATTTTGTACATTCAGATTCATGGGTACAAGAAAAACACACGCTCGAAATATAATAATTAAAAGAGAGGGAACAGAAATGAAAGTCACAGATACGCGATTCCAAGCTGAACCAAGCGTGGCAGACTGAGATTGAGATTCACAAGGGGAAACATCTTCCGGGGTTAGCTTACGAGGCACCGGTAAAGGCGCTGCATCATCCGTTATTTTCCTAACCCAATACGTATACGAGGCTCCTTGGTGCCCTTCTTTCTCTAACGACACTCGGTCTCCGGACTCCATTTTACTACTTCTTTCAACAAATTAAAATATTTTAAATTTCAAAGATAACAAAACTTGAAATTGCACTATGGAATTATGAACTAATAAAGGATAGATTAGTACCAATCCAAAAGTATGCAAGAGCTGCACGTCAACAGACCCTATAGTCACTCAGCAAAAAAAATAGAAACAAATAGTACTTCCTCTTTCTGGAAGTTTCCTTAAATCGGAGAAGCAGGAAGTGGAATCTCCAAAGATCAAAAGTCAAAATTATTAGTTGTCCAAAAAAATGCTAATAAACTAATCTTTACACAATTTTAAGTAATATCATTAAAATTCATTAAAAAATAATACATTTTAATGAACTTTATTTTTTATTTAAGAAATATCCTTCTTAATTTTATATCTTATAATAATAAATTACGAA